AATTTGTTAAATAGTCCAGTTATGAACAGACATGTTTATTTGTCGAAATAAATAAATTCTAGCAAAGTAAATAAATGATTGAGAGAGAATCAATTAATTTAAAATTTAATTTACTTAGCATTTATTCATGATATCACATCTTTATAATGCTGAAGTCTTATAGATGACTAGTTTTTTTTTACTTAGCAATTTTTTACACGGAGTTCGACGAAGTGTTTTTGTTGGGATATCAGTAGTTTTTTATAACATATTTTTATGTACTGGCATGTAATATGTAATTTTTTATGTTTTTATTAATTWATTTTATTATTATGTTTGTTTATTTAATATACTCTATTTTTTTTTTAATCATATTCAATTGTTTTCCATTATTATAATATATACATTTTTACCCCATCGAGGCCATCGTTCAAAACGTATTGTAGTGTCATTACATCCTAGCCATTTATTTATTATCTTTATTAAACATTCATCAATACACATTGTATTTGTCTTTTTTTTTCTAAATAATTTCTCTTTTTTCGTAATTTCTGTTTATATTATGTTTTAGAAACCATTTTAGAAATAAAGAATTACAAATTATAATATAAATAAATAATCTAATAGTATAGTACCTACGGCCTACTGCAACTACAACAAACGAGACGACAAATAAAACGTGGTTTTTCTACCAGCGCGGCGGCGGCTATACGCATCTACATCGAACGTCGCCAGAAACATGAATGTCGATAACACTGATAACAGAAATTACGAATACGATAAGCGAAGACGCAGGCAACGGCGGGAATCGCAAGTCGCAACCGCTGCCCAGTGTACTAACCGAGACGTAAACGTATACGGAATAGAGGGGGCAATACGGTCTCGTGCGCTGCGTGAAACGTTATAAAAACAGTCGAGCACAATATCTTTTTGCTTCGAAAATACTTGACTTTTTTGCTAATATATTCGTCATTATTCAACCATTTTTTTCAAAAATGACAAAGGTATAATCTACAAATCATGCCCGATCTATTGATACTACAAACAGACAAATCCGTTCATTYATTAGGTCTGTAGCCCTGGCTAAAGAAAACGGGCAAATTTACACACATTTAATGGGCAAACTCTGGCTCGTGTAATGTACTACGGTACTGACCGCTTCGCTTTTTTTTT